TCAAACTCATGCTGGTAGCTTTGAGAACACTGTCCAACCATTTCATCCTCTGTCGTCCCCTTCTCTTTGTACCCTCAATCTTTCCCAGCATCAGGGTCTTTTCCAGGGAGCCTTCTCTTCTCATAAGGTGGCCAAAGTATTGGAGCCTCAGCTTCAGGATCTGTCCTTCCAGTGAGCACTCAGGGCTGATTTCCTTAAGAATGGAGAGGTTTCATCTTCTTGCAGTCCATGGGACTCTCAAGAGTCTCCTCCAGCACCATAATTCAAAAGCATCAATTTTTCAGTGATCAGCCTTCTCGATGGTCCAGCTCTCACTTCCATACATCACTACTGGGAAAACCATAGCTTTAACTATAGGGACCTTTGTTGATGTCTCTGCTTTTTAAGATGCTGTCTAGGTTTGCCTCTTAGTACCCTCTAGGTAATCCCACTGTCCCCCAGGGGGCAGTACAACCTACTTTGGGAACTGGTAGAATAGACAATACGATCCAATTTTATGTAAGGCAGCTTCCTGTGTCCTTACTTCGTGGGTCACAAGTTCTGTTGGCCTGTTTTAACACCCATCAGCCAAGACATACAACCTGCCCTTAAGAAACACTTACCTCTTCTGTGGTTCTTCTGATTAGGAACTCTGTGAAGGATCATTACGGGGAAATTAGCTAGCAGAGTTGGGTGGGGGAGGAGAGAGAAAAGACAGTCTTTTTAAAATTCAAGACCTTCATCTCTAATCAAGTGTTTTCATATGCTTAGTCCTCATAAATCATTCTGAATTTCATTTCGACAAAAAAAAAAATCACATACCAGCAACTCCTGTCTGAAATTCCTTTTCGTTTATGAATTGGCATCATAAGAAGAAAAGTGAGGCTGTTTGCTAGAGAGATGGACCTTGAAATGACAATGCTGTCCATTGATGTTGCTTCTTGGACAATTTTAATTACACCCATTTATTATAGCCCTGTCCTGCAAGACATGTACAGGGGTGCTCTCCAGTCGGCGACATTTGCATCCATCACAACGTGGGACACCTTGACACAGCACTCGTATTTTCCGAAGAATGGGATATGGATCATAAGGAGCACATGCAAATGTTATAGAAGCAAGAGAGAACAGGATCAATTTGAAACACACAAACACAGTTTGGCTTGGGGATGGGGAGAGTTCACTGAGGAAGAAAGGAATTTACAATCAGTGATAGATAGGAACATTAGAAGAGATCTGCAGGATGAGGCCAATGGCTCATCTAGTCCAGCTTGGCTACTTCTGCCCTTTGAAGGAGGAAGAGGTGGAGGTGCGGGCTTCACGGCCCCACCACACGCATGGTGGCTGGAGCCCAGCCCCACACAATTGGGGGGATTCCCGGCCGTGTCATCCCCTGGCCAGCCAACCGGCTGGCTCTGGGGCCATGGCCTGCCCTATTTAAGGCAGGGCACGACCGGGGATCTCCTTCTTTTCCCTGCCTGCCAGCTGTTCCTGCTTTTCCCACCCTCCCGCCCTATAAGGTTTTCGTTCCTTGACCTTGCTATGGACCTTGGTTGGTTGCCATTGAGGGGCCTGGTAGGATTTTTTTCCACTTGGCAAAATGGCACCAGCCACCTCATAGTAAATTGTCACAACTTTCTTGGTATTGGTGGTTATCATGGTCGGGATATGATTCTTTCTTGTGCTTTGCATACAAATCTTATTTCCCCCTCCCCTTTCCTTGAGTACTTCAGCCTCATTCCCTTTGGATAAATATTTATGACTCCTTTGGTCATTCTTGTTCTGGCCTCCCCTTTGTCTTGAACTCTTCATACATCTTTTAAAACCTGTATTTGTAATAGTACAACAATAAAATTCTAACATGAACTTAGGGTAGAAAAATACATACATCGGCATTTATAGAGCCTGGGATGAGAGCCAAGGATTTTTTAGCTTCGGTGCCAATGAAATTGCCTCTCGTTTATTATTCATACTTCAGAATTTCCTTTTCTTTCTTTCGTTCTTTCATTCGTCCGTTCTTTCTTTTCACAGGCAAAATAACATAGTGTTAAATCTATTAACTGCCCAGAATTGTGAATCTATTAAAGACAATTAAGCCCTAAGGCCTGACTCTGAAGTATCAAAAAAGTACTATTCCACCCCTCCAAAAGTCCCTAGATTTAAAAAAAAACCTAAATGTTGGGATCTTCCTTAATATGGCAAGCTGGAATTAAGATTGCCGGAAGAAATATCAACAACCTCAGATATGCAGATGACACAACCTTGATGGCAGAAAGTGAGGAGGAATTAAAGAACCTTTTAATGAGGGTGAAAGAGGAGATCGCAAAATATGGTCTGAAGCTCAACATCAAAAAAACTAACATCATGGCCACTGGTCCCATCACCTCCTGGCAAATAGAAGGGGAAGAAATGGAGGCAGTGAGAGATTTTTTCTTTCTTGGGCTCTATGATCACCGCAGATGGTGACAGCAGTCACGAAATTAAAAGACGCCTGCTTCTTGGGAGAAAAGCAATGACAAACCTAGACAGCATCTTAAAAAGCAGAGACATCACCTTGCCAACAAAGGTCTCTGTAGTTAAAGCTATGGTTTTCCCAGTAGTGATGTATGCAAGTGAAAGCTGGATCATAAAGAAGGCTGATCGCTGAAGAATTGATGCTTTTGAATTATGGTCTGGAGGAGACTCTTGAGAGTCCCATGGACTGCAAGAAGATCAAACCTCTCCATTCTGACTCCACAGAGTGGAATGTGATGGAGACAGGATGTTTGGGTTACTGTGTTCCGTGAAGTGGGACTATTGTCCTTTGTTCTTTCTCTCTTTGCTGTCTGATGCTAGAGAGAGAGGGAGCCATGTTGCAGTGCTCCGTGTGTGTATATATGTAAACAAAGTAGATTAGCCAAAATGCTGAGTTGCTGAGGTCTGTTACGCAACTGCGCAAACTCTGCAGATCCCTAAGTGTGCCGGTGTCGGTTGGCATCGGTCGCTGTGATGTTCGGGCTGAAGAAAGCTTATGAAGCTCCCGAACAATCGACCAGGAGGGAGAGAACATGCCAGTCGGGCATGTGTCTCTGCCAGGGTCCTACTCGAGTGTAGGCTGAACTCCTGACACCCTGATCTCCTAGGTCATCGTCTGGCATGCTACCCACTACATCACGCTGGTTCTCTTGTCTCCAGTTCCTTTGGTCACTTTGCCTCTGTGCTCCCAGCAACCCTCTTTGTTTCCTGACTTTCCTCAGCCTGCCTGGGAAATTTCCTCAACCTGCCCTACCAAAATACTAATATAAGGTAAAAGGTAAAGGGACCCCTGACCATTAGGTCCAGTCGTGGCCGACTTTGGGGTTGCGGCGCTCATCTCGCTTTACTGGCTGAGGGAGCTGGCGTACAGCTCATGTGGCCAACATGACTAAGCCGCTTCTGGGGAACCAGAGCAGCACACGGAAATGCCGTTTACCTTCCCACCAGAGCAGTACCTATTTATCTACTTGCACTTTGAATCATAGAATCATAGAGTTGGAAGAGACCACAAGGGCCATCGAGGTCCAACCCCTGCCAAGCAGGAAACACCATCAGAGCACTCCTGACATATGGTTGTCAAGCCTCTGCTTAAAGACCTCCAAAGAAGGAGACTCCACCACACTCCTTGGCAGCAAATTCCACTGTCAAACAGATCTTACTGTCAGGAAGTTCTTCCTAATGTTTAGGTGGAATCTTCTTTCTTCTGGTTTGGATCCATTGCTCCGTGTCCGCTTCTCTGGAGCAGCAGAAAACAACCTTTCTCCCTCCTCTATGTGACATCCTTTTATATATTTGAACATGGCTATCATCTCACCCCTTAACCTCCTCTTCTCTAGGCTAAACATGGCCAGCTCCCTTAGCCGTTCCTCATAAGGCATCGTTTCCAGGCCTTTGACCATTTTGGTTGCCCTCCTCTGGACCCGTTCCAGTTTGTCAGTGTCCTTCTTGAACTGTGGTGCCCAGAACTGGACACAGTACTCCATGTGAGGTCTGACCAGAGCAGAATACAGTGGCACTATTACTTCCCTTGATCTAGATGTTATACTCCTATTGATGCAGCCCAAAACTGCATTGACTTTGATGTGCTTTCGAACTGCTAGGTTGGCAGGAGCAGGGACTGAGCAACAGGAGCTCAACCCATCGCGGGGATTCGAACCGCCGACCTTCTGATCAGCAAGTCCTAGGCTCTGCGGTTTAACCCACAGCGCCACCCGCGTCCCAAAATACTAATTTGCCTTGAGCCAAATGGAAGCTTTTAGTTCCAGCGAAACTGACAGCTGTCCCTTTCCCACCAGAAGCAGAACCACTAGCATTCCAGAGGTTTCTTCCCTGAGCATTTTGGAATTTGCATGAACTTTGCTGCCACAAGCTCAATATGTGCAAGAGGCAGGTTATTTCAAAGCGCAGTTAAGCCCATGTTTACATCTCTGCAGTGAAATCATGGGGTCTTTAAAGTGCTCCAATTTGATCAGATCATGCCCTTTGTCTGTATAGAAACAGCCAATGGTGTACCTTGTGTATATCAACCTTTTCCATTAATTCGTTTTTGTCGGAAACGGCAATACAGGTGTCAGGGAAGAATGTAAATGATGGGCAAATAGGGGTTAGAAAAGGTCGCATTCCAGACCCGTTTTCTGAGGTCTTTATAATTAAGGGTCAGGAGAGAAGCCGGTTTAGTGGTTCTCTTTAATGGATATCTTCATAACTCTTCAATCACTGCAATGTACAGCCTCATTAGACATTCACTGAGGATGCGGAGACCAGGAATTCACCTTGTTAATAAAAAGAAATTGTCATGTCTCTGTGTAACCCAAGTCAATTATCTCCCATGTCAGCCGCTGCGAAAGATAAGGATACTATAAACACAGCGAAGGCGAAAAGATAAAGGTGCCTAAGGCGCTTTTCATATTCGAAACATGTCAAAAAGCCATGCCATAGATTCATACAATCATGGAATTGTAGAGTTGGAAGGGACCACAAGGTTCGTCAACAATGCAGGAATCTTTTGCCCACCGTGGGGCTCGAACCCATGACCACAAGATTAGGAGTCTCATGCTTTACCAGCTGAGCATTTGTGAAGCAAAAGGAGGAGGGCAATCCACCAACCAACCAATGCAGCCCTTGGCCATGATGATGCCTTGGGACAGGGCCGTATTTCAGTACAGAGTATCTGCTTTGCAGAGCCTGTGCATCCATAAGGTAAAGTGAGGAAACTGCCTCAGGCTGCATTATCCACAGGGTCAGCAGATTCCCCTCAGGGCCAGCCCACCCAGGAGGCAAGATGAGGTGACTGCTTCAGGCGGCAGGAGCCAATTTTGAAGATGACTCGGAAACTATAGCTAATCCAGAATGCAGCTGCCAGACTGGGAGCAGCCGCTGGATCCATATAACACCAGTCCTAAAGGATCTACACTGTCTCCCAGTATGTTTCCAAGCCCAATTCAAAGTGTTGGTGTTGACCAGGCTTCCTCAACCTCGGCCCTCCAGATGTTTTTGGCCTACAACTCGCATGATCCCTAGCTAGCAGGACCAGTTGTCAGAGATGATGGGAATTGTAGTCTCAAAACATCTGGAGGATGTTGAGGTTGAGGAAGCCTGGTGTTGACCTTCAAAGCCCTAAAAAGCCTCATCCCTGTATACCTGAAGGAGCGTTTCTACTCCCATTGGTCAGCCCAGACCAGGGGTGCCAACTTGAATAAAACGTTGGGGGAGGGACAGGTAAGTCCCACCCTGCATAATTGATCACATGATGTGGCACACACAACATTTGAATGGCAATGCCCCTCAAATATTTTATTGGGGGAAGCTGAAGAGACCTCAGCCCCTAGGAGTTGGCTCCTAGGGCCTGGACACTGAGGTCCAGCTCTGAGGGCCTTCTGGTGGTTCTCTCACCGTGAGAAGTGAAGTTACAGGGAACCAAGCAGAGGGCCTTCTCAGTGGTGGTGCCTGCCCTGTGGAACGCCCTCCCATCAGCTGTTAAGGAAATAAACAACTATCTGACTTTTAGAAGACAACTGAAGGCAGCCCTGTTTAGGGAAGTTTTAAATGTTTGCTGTCTTGCTGTGTTTAACTTGCTGGAAGTCACCCAGAATGGCTGGGGTAACAGACGCAGATGGGTGGCATATAAATATGTTGTTGTTGTTGTTGTTGTTGTAGCAGGTCCCAATGTACATCTTTATTCTGCCCCCCTTTTTCCTGATTCACCCCTTCTTACCTGGCATGGAGTGGCACCATTTTGCGGCACACCTCAGGTGCCAAAATGCTTGTTTTGTGGGGGTTTTCATGTAGAAGTTTCCAGCTTCAGTCTCCAGCATCTCCCAACAGAGACTCCTCTGCCTGAAATCCCCAGAAGCTGTTGCCAATCATTAGTGTTGAGTTGGTCATACTAATGTTCTCACTAAATAAAAGGCAGCTTCCAATATTTCCCTTGCCCTACAGGAAGGATGATGTGGGAAAATTCATTTGAGTTTGTAGTTCCCACAAAGGCACAGTGAAAAAGGGTTCAGTTTTGCAGTCTATAAAAAGGACTATAAAAGGACTACAGAAAAAGGATTCAAGATTGGAGAATGGGACCCAAACTAACAAGATGAATTCCAACAGGAACAAATGAAAGGTTCTTCACTTAGACAGGAAGAACCAGCTGCACAAATATAAGATGGGGACACCTGGCTTGACACCCAGGGTCTTGGTGGACTACAACCTTAACATGAGTCAACGGTGTGACACAGCAGCAAAACAACTATTGTTATTCTAGACTGTATCTACAGAAATCTAGTGTTCCAATCAAGGGAAGTAATAGGTAAAGGTAAAGGTACCCCTGCCCGTACGGGCCAGTCTTGCCAGACTCTAGGGTTGTGCGCTCATCTCACTCTATAGGCCGGGAGCCAGCGCTGTCCGCAGACACTTCCGGGTCACGTGGCCAGCGTGATAAGCTGCATCTGGCGAGCCAGCACAGCACACCGAACGCTGTTTACCTTCCCACTGGTAAGCGGTCCCTATTTATCTACTTGCACCCGGGGGTGCTTTCAAACTGCTCGGTTGGCAGGTGCTGGGACCGAACGATGGGAGCGCACCCCGCCGTGGGGATTCGAACTGCCGACCATGCGATCAGCAAGTCTAGGCACTGAGGTTTTACCCACAGCGCCACCCACGGAAGTAATAGTACGCCTCTATTCTGCCTTGGTCAGACCACACCTGAAATACTGTGTCCAGTTCTGGGCAGCACAATTTAAGAAGGATATTGACAAGCTAGAAGGTGTGCCGAGAAAGGTGACAAAGATGATCAAGGGTCTGGAAACCAAGCATTTATGAGGAACGGTTGAAGGAGCTGGGTATGTTTAGCTTGGAAAGGAGGAGACAGAGAGGAGATATGATAGCCATCCTCAAATATCTCAAGGGATGTCACACGGAAGAGGCAGCAAGCTTGTTTTCTCCTGATCTAGTAGGTAGGACTCAAACCAATGGATTCACATTGCAAGAAAGGAGATTCTGACTAAACATCAGGTAGAACTTTCTGACAGTGACAGCTGTTCCAAACTTGGATGGACTTCCTCAGAAGGTGGTGGGCTTTTCTTCATTGGCAGTTTTGAAGCAGAGGTTGGTGGCCGTCTGTCATGGATGCTTTAGCTGAGATTCCTATACTGCAGGGGGTTGGACTAGATGGCCATTGATGTCCCTTCCAACTCTGCAGTTATATGGTATAATAATAATAATAATAATAATAATAATAATAATAATTTATTTATTATTTATTATTTATTATTTATTATTTATTATTTATTATTTATTATTTATTATTTATTATTTATTATTTATTATTTATTATTTATTATTTATTATTTATTATTTATACCCTGCCCAGCTGGCTGGGCTTCCCCAGACACTCTGGGCGGCTTCCAACAAAATATTAAAATACAGTAATGCATCAAACATTAAAAGCTTCCCTAAAGAGGGCTGCCTTCAGATGTCTTCTAAAAGTCTGGTACAGTGGTACCTCGGGTTAAGTACTTAATTAGTTCCAGAGGTCCGTTCTTAACCTGAAACTGTTCTTAACCTGAAGCACCACTTTAGCTAATGGGGACTCCTGCTGCTGCCGCCGCACGATTTCTGTTCTCATCCTGAAGCAAAGTTCTTAACTCGAGGTACTATTTCTGGGTTAGCGGAGTGTGTAACCTGAAGCGTATGTAACCCAAGGTACCACTGCAGTTGTTGTTCTCTTTGACATCTGGTGGGAGGGCGTTCCACAGGGTGGGCGCCACCACCCAGAAGGCCCTCTGCCTGGTTCCCTGTAACTTGGTTTCTCGCAGTGAGAGAACCGCCAGAAGCCCTCAGCGCTGAACCTCAGTGTCTGGGCAGAACAATGGGGGTGGAGATGCTCCTTCAGGTATACTGGACCGAGGCCATACTATGCACAGTTCGTGATAAAGTTTCGTTTCCATCCCGGTGTTATTGTACAGAAACTATATCCTGGTAGATGGCTAAAAGCTGGAACACTGTGATGTGTCTGTGACCATCTTACTCATGCAAGGCCAGGATTTTGAGATATGAAAGAGGAACATCCATAGGTGTCGTTCAGCCATTCAGCCATCGTGCTATGTGTGCCCCCCGAGCTCTGTGGCTTATTTGAAGCTTTGTCTTTGCCCAGCATGCAGTATCTTGTTCAAAAGTAGCACTCTCGCTTCTCAAGACTGTGTGTTTTTCTCTCCCATCCTAGGCAATGAGCCGCAACATCACACACTTCAATTGCTTTTCACATCTCTCTTCCTGACCTCTACAAGACCTGAGATTACTTCCTTCACCTGAGACCCTGAATGTTTCCCTCATGCTGGTGAAAGAGAATATCTAGAACATGTTGCGTCCCTCTTGTGCCTTCCAGGAAGAGGGAGAAGTGTTAACAACATCCTGTTGAGATGATGAGTAGCAATCTTATAGCCTCTCCTGCTGACATACGGAGGACTTCAGCCAGTCTTCTGGTAGGGAAGCAATCAGTATCCCAATAATAATGTTCTATCCTCCTCCATCAGCACCCTTAAAGGTACAGTGGTACCTCGGGTTACATATGCTTCAGGTTACATATGCTTCAGGTTACAGACTCCGCTAACCCAGAAATATTACCTCAGGTTAAAAACTTTGCTTCAGGATGAGAACAGAAATCGTGCTCTGGTGGCGCAGCGGCAGCAGGAGGCCCCATTATCTAAAGTGGTGCTTCAGGTTAAGAACAGTTTCAGGTTAAGAACGGACCTCCGGAATGAATTAAGTACTTAACCCGAGGTACCACTGTAAAGGTAAAGGGACTCCTGACCATTAGATCCAGTTGCAGACGACTCTGGGGTTTCGGTGCTCATCTCGCTTTACTGGCCGAAGGAGCTGGCGTACAGCTTCCGGGTCATGTGGCCAGCAGGACTAAGCTGCTTCTGGAGAACCAGAGCAGTGCACGGAAATGCCATTTACCTTCCTGCCGGAGTGGTACCTATTTATCTACTTGTACTTGACATGCTTTCAAACTGCTAGGTGGGCAGGAACTGGGACCGAACAACGGGAGCTCACCCCGTCATGGGGATTCAAACCGACGACCTTCTGATCGGCAAGCCCTAGGCTCTGTGGTTTAGACCACAGCGCCACCTGCATCCTGCTGTCAGCACCCATACCTAGCTTCAAAAGCTCAGATCTGAGACCCAATCAATTACAACCTGCTGGGGAGTGGATCTGGAACTCGATTTACCAAGGAAGTTGGCAGTCCTAATCCCACTTACCTGGGAACAAGCCTTATTTAATTCAATAGGACTTGCTTCTTTCTCTTTTATTGAACAGATTTACAGCCCACTTTTAAAGAGGCATTTATCACAAAGTGGTTTACTACATACACATCAAAATGTAACCAATAAACTGTATCCTAAAACCATTTGAAACATCTACTTGGCAATGCTACTATGAGCCAGCACCAAAACACACATAGCTCCATCTTAGAATGTGTCCATTTCAGCTTAAAAATAATAGTAATTTATTATTTATACCCCACCCATCTGGCTGGGTTTCCCCAGCTACTCTGTACGGCTCCCAACAGAATTAATGTTGATTTTGT